TCACTGTACTTGTTTTATTGGAGGGAATAATGGGTTGGGAAAATGGAGCAGCTGGTGGGAAGAGACAGCTTTCTAGTTTAACCCCTCAGCTACTAGGAGCCTAGCCATTTGCTGACATTCATTGAGCTTTGGGGGCAACTGAGTCAGTGTCGATGGGCTCAGGAGTTCCCAGGTCTCCCCAAACTTCAGACCAACCAGCCCTTCCTCTTCTCTCTCTCATCTCAAGGTCTGCAGGAGTCTTTGGAACATGGTCAAACTCAGCCCTTATCTTCATTCTGCCTTTCCCCAACTTCCATTCACAGGTAGACCAACATAGTTACCAGTGAGCCTACAAACCTGCTCATGTGTTCCCTTTGAGTTTCAGTCTTGGAAGGGATTTTTGTCCTGAAGGGACTTGATGGCTGTCTTTGATGGTTTGCAGGCAGATAGCACGCTTGTTCTTGTAATAGCCGAACAGTCTGCTGGTTTTGTTACTGTTTTCTGCTGGTCTTTCTTTCAAGCAGTATCTTCTGTTCCTCTAGCCACTCCAGGTTCGTCTGTATGTCCTTTCAAGTGGGAATGTCCAACCTTAAAAGGTTCTGGATGGGGCTCAGGATTCCACCTAAAGCCCTATATACTATAAAGGCTCCATAAGAAGCCTTTTTCACTGGGATAGTTCTAGAACCCTTTTTAGATATTCCAATCAGTTACAAGCTTTCTTGTAATCATATTTCCTGATACTCCTTTCTATCCCACTCAAGTGTCTATTTTACAATAGTAGGCAAGGGAAACCAATATCCACAAGACAATCAATTGCCTTAACATTATTTCCCCTCTTTTACCCACTGGTATTATGCCTCGATCCCTGTATCACAGAACCCTGTTGTTCCTAGGTTGAGTAAACATCACTACCTCTGTCCCATTTACCTGGGCTCCTTTCTTAGTGCTTTACACATACATATTAACTCATTTAACCCTTACCACAACCTGATGATGTTAGTCATTGAGATAGGTACTACTGTTACTTCAAATGAGCACACTACAGGAAAAGGAATTCTGACCCCAGAGCTGCTCTGAGGCCACAGGGAGAGGGGAGTAATGTTGTCTCTGAGCAGGTAGTCAGGGCAGCATGAAGGGCCAGGAGGTTTAAAATTAAAAAAGGTGTGCAACAAGGTTGTATTCTTTCACCATACTTATTCAACCTGTATGCTGAGCAAATAATCCAAGAAGCTGGGTTATATGAAGAAAAACATGGCATCAGGATTGGAGGAAGACTCATTAACAACCTGCGATATGCAGATGATACAACCTTGCTTGCTGAAAGTGAAGAGGACTTAAAACATTTACTGATGAAGATGAAAGAGCACAGTCTTCGGTATGGATTACATCTCAATGTAAAGAAAACAAATATCCTCACCACTGGACTAATAAACAACATTCTTATCAACAGAGAAAAGATTGAAGTTATCAAGGACTTCATTCTTCTTGGATCAACTATCAACACTCACGGAAGCAGCTGTCAAGAAATCAGAGGATGTATTGCATTAGGCAATTCTGCTCACAAGACCTTTTCAAAGTGTTGAAGAGCAGACATGTCAGCTTAAGGACTAAGATGCGCGTGACCCAAGCCATGGTATTTTCAATAGCTTCATATGCATGCAAAAGCTGGACAATGAATAAGGAAGACCATAGAAGAATTGATTCTTTTGAGTTATGGTGTTGGAGGAGAATATTGAAAGTGCCATGGGCTGCCAAAAGAACCAATAGATCCGTTTTGGAAGAAGTGTAGCCAGAGTGCTCCTTGGAAGCCCAGATGGCCAAATTTTGTCTCTCATACTTCAGACATATTGTCAGGAGGGACCAGTCGCTGGAGAAGGATATCATGTTTGGTAAGGTGGAGGGTCAGAGAAAAAGAGGAAGACCCCCAACAAGATGGATTGGCCAAGTGGCAGCATCGATGGACTCAAGCATGGCAAAAGTAGTGAGGTTGGCCCAGGATTGGGCAGTGTTTTGTTCTGCTGTGCACAAGGTCGCTATGAGTATGAGTCAGTACCAACTTGTTGACACCTAACAACAACAACAATGGTTAAGGATCTTGAGCATTTCTTTCTATGTTTGTTGGCCTCCTCAATGTCTTCTTTGGTGAAGTGTCTGTTCAGGTCCTCTGCCCATTTTTAATTGGATTATTTGTCTTCTTCTTTTGAGGTGTTGAAGTGTTCTATAAATTTTAGAGAGTAGTCCTTTGTCTGATATGTCATTGCCAAAAATTTGCCCCAGTCTGTGGGTTTTCTTTTTATTCTCTTGGTGAAATCCTTTGATGCATCTAAGTGTCTAATTTTTAGGAGGTCCCAGTCATCTCTTTAGTCTTCTGTGTGTTTTTTCAGTTGTGTTTGACAGTGAATTTATGTCATATATTAGAGCCCCACAGTTTGTCCCTATTTTTTTGTTGATAATCTTTATAGTTGTCGGCTTCACATTTAGGTCTTTAATCCATGTTGAGTTCATTTCTCTATATGGTGTTTTCTCCATTTATCATAATGTTGCTTACTGGTCCAGTTGTGAAGATTTTTGTTTTATGTTGAGGTATAATTCATACTGAAGGACTATAGTCTTTGGTCTTCATCAATGAGTGCTACAGATCCTTACCATGCAAGGTTGTGTCCCCTGTATATCACAGGTTGTTAATGAATCTTCCTCCAAACCTCATGCCACATTCTTTTTCATATGTCCAGCTCTTTCGATTATTTACTCAACATACAGATTGAATATACATATTGAATATATTCAATATACACATTGAATATAAGCTTGATACACATGCACATCTTTCCTGATTTTCAACTATTCAGTATCCCCTTGTTCTGTTCTAATGACTGCCTCTTGGTCTGTGTACAAGTTCCACATGAGCACAATTAAGTCTTCTGGAATTCCCATTCTTCACAGTGTTTTTCATGGTTTGTTATGATCCACATAGTCAAATGTGTTTGCATAGTCAATAAAACACAGATAAATATCTTTCTGGCATTCTCTGCTTTCAGCCAAAATCCATCTGACATCAACAGTGACATTGTTGTACCATATCCTTTTGTGAATCTGGCTTGAATTTCTGGCAGTTACATACTGTTGCAGACATTTTTGAATTCTCTTCAGTAAAATCACACTATCACTGACGATTTTCAAATGGGAACTGAAGGGTCATCTTCTTAGCTACTTAGTAGCGGTTGGTGTCCCTCTTGGGGATGAGATGGTCCACCAAGGACCCTCCCATTCTAAGATTTCAGCCTGGAGGGTTGCTGAGAGGTTGCCCACCATCAGCTAATTGAGTTAGCTCAGATTAGGTGTTAAATCTAATGGGAGTACAAACTCCCATTTTGTTCCCAGTCTCCCAGTGAGGCTTCTCTATGGGCAGGCACCAGCAGGGGACAAAGCTATCCTGCCATCTGCTTTCTAGAATAGAGCACGTCTCCAAGCAAAGATTAGACTCCCCTTCTAAAGCAGGGCCGTGTTACTCACTCACCCTGCCTTTTGTAAAGAAGGGGTTGCTGGCCATCCAGGGCTAATGGGGAAAAGGGAAGAGTGGGCAAGAAGCCGAAAGCCGCAAGGATTTCTCTCTTTTTCTGGCAGCTTCCTTGTGTCTTGCTTGTTTGATTGATGCTTTCATAGACATCATTGTATGTGCCAACGTTTAGGGCCCCTGTAAAGTTCAACGTATGTTTCCTTCAACCTCAAAGAAGTGTGAGACGTTCCCCCCAGCTGGGCCTGGGCCAGGCAGCAAAGGCAGACTGGGAGGGGAGCAGGGACCAGAAATCCCCCAGCTGGACCTACTTACTGCCCTCCCTCAGCTGATGTGTTCCAGAAAGATCCCAGGCTCCTTTCCATGTGTGTGTGCGCGCGCCTGTGTAAATGGAATAGCATTTTGAATGCACTGCAGGAGTGCCCCTCAAAGAAGCCCTGTGGCGAAGTCTTTTGTAAAGTGAAAAATCCCTTTGTAAGGCGAATCATTGTACTCTGTTTATCTGCTTTGGAGGCTCAGAATTTTCAGAGGTTCTCAAGGGAGAGAGGGATTTATTTGAAAGATATCTGGCCCATCCCATTTCCAATACCTGATTCTCCACTAGAGCATCTCCCCAAGGCCCCTGATGGGAAACTCATGACATCCCAAGATGGATAGTCCCATCTTGAACAACTCTGCTTCTTAAAAATGAAGCTGAAACTCCCTCACTGAAGTTTCCACCCATTGAGTCTTCCACTTGTAGGTTACACTGACTAGTAGGTTTCCTTGTTTGGGGCTCACTTGATGTTTGGCAATATTGAACCTGATCCCTGAGTCTTCTCTTTGATCTGAACTTCCCCGGTTATCTCAATTCATTCCTCATTTGCAGGATTTTGAGTTCTTTTCTCATCCTCACAGTTCTGCTTCACCTTGCTTTGTTTGCTATGGAGCAAAGCTTTCAGTTCGGGGACCCAACAATTAATACAACTCTCAAGTGTTGCATCTCGGTGTGGAGACGAAAGGGACATTCATCTCTCTGGATGTAGTTCTTCTATACCACTGGGCATGCAGTTCATGCACTTTGATGGCAGTCATACATACTCAGATCTAGCTACTAATTGGTGTTAAGTGACGCTGAGCCAGTTCCTACTCATGAAAACCCTGTATAGGTTTCCAAGGAGTGGCTGATGGGTTTGAACTGCTGACCTTGCAGTTCAAACTGACCAATAGCAAACACTTATATAGCACTTGGCCTCCCTGGGTGGCACAAATGGCTAAGAGCTCCACTACTAACTGAAAGGTTGGTGGTTTGAAACCACTCAGAAGCGCTTGGGTGTTTGGGGTTTTTTTATATGGTACTTACCATTGCCTCAAATCTCAACACCAAACTGGCATGTTCTGCCATTAAAACACATCTCCCTTATCCAGGATTTAATGGAGAGTCTTCCTTTATGTGTCACCTAAGTGAGATACTTCCTCAGAGGAGCAGTCTGATCTAGAACTAATGACATTCTGTCCTTTTCCCTAGAACTGGTCCGGCATGAAGTGCCAGTTCAAGTTGCTACGGATGGCTGTGGGCTTGATCTGCAGTAAGTACTGATGGAACCAGGCCCCGGAGGCATAAAGGTGCACAGTCCATGCCCTTAGGGGCTTGGGGGCAAGAAATACAGAAGCCCAAACATGTCAATACGTCTGTACAACACAGTGAGAAAAGTCTGTCCCTTAAACTTTTTGTACGGTTGGGTTACAGATGAAGGGGCTTCAAAAAAGTCGTGGAAAAATGATATTAAAAGATAATGGAATTTTTCCACAAACTTTTTGAAGCTCCCTCGTGTGTGTGTGTGTGTGTGTGTGTGTGTATATATATATATAGAATGTATGTGTGTATATGTGTATGTGTGTACATATATAGTATGTATATGTGTATGTAAATAAGTGTGTGTATATATACAGTATGTATGTGTGTGTATATATGTGTAAGTGTATGTGTATATATATAGTATGTGTATGTATATATAGTTATGTATGTGTGTGTGTAAATATAACACAATTTGCTATTTTAACTATTTTTAAGTATGCAATTCAATGGCATTGTTTGTATGAGGGGGCTTTAAAAAGTTCATGGAAAATGGAATTGAAATATAATGAAAATTTCCATATTGTTTTTGAAGTCCCCTTATGTGTATGTGTGTGTGTGTTGTTGTTAAGTGCCATTGAGTCACTTCTGACTAATAGCAATTCTGTCTAGGGTTTCTAAAGAGCGACTGGGGAGTTTGAACTGCTGGCCTTGAGGTTAGCAGTCCAGTGTGTATCCTACAGTGCCACACCAGGACTCCGTGTGTGTTTGTGTGTGTGTGTGTACACATACATATATATATTACGCATGTTGTTGTATGTATTACGTGTATATATGCATGTGTATATGTTGTTGTTAAGTGCCATCAAGTCAGTTCCAACTCACAGCGACCCTGTTTAGGATTTCTGAGGAGAGGTGGTGAGTTTGAACTGCCGACCTTACAGTTGACATTCCAGTGCTTATTCTAGAGGGCTACACCAGGACTGTGTGTGTGTGTGTGTGTGTGTATATATATATATACACACACATATGTATATATATGATATAAAATTTGCCATTTTAAAGTATACAGTTCAGTGACATTGATTATATGAGGGGGCTTTTAAAAATTTATGGGAAAATGGAATGAAAGGATAATGGAGTTTTTCTACAAACTTTTTGGAGCTCCCTCGTATTCACAGTGTTACATAACAATCTCCATTATATTTTCAGAACTTTTTCATATCCCAAATAGAATTTCCTAAACTCTTATTAACATATACTATACAAACAGAGGAGTGCATACAGGGTACTATCCAGCTCAAAAACCAGCCTCCAGATTAAAGAAAAGAACTTGTTAAACTTTTGGGTCACAGAATCAATCCTTTGACATCCCCTATTGGAAATCAGAGACCCCCTTCTACAGGTAAATGCACATATACACACCCACACATATAGACGTACAGCCAGCCAAAATTCAAAGCCAGTCTGTGCTGTCGGATGCTCCACACGTTTACCAAGCTGAGCAAATAAGAACTTTAACATTCTCTGCTCCTATCAACCACCTACCATGTGAGTAAGAGCAAGCCTGAGCTAGAACAAATTTGGGGAGAAGGGCCAGGCCTGTGTGGGTACCACTGTAGTTCACTTCCACTTCTCTTTACCTTGTGCCCTTCAGTGTCTCCAATCAGACCTGTCCCTGATCCGCAGGGGTCTTCTGTTTCCCTGATATCAGTTTCCTTAATGAGATTGTTGCTATTGTTGTTAAGTGTCATTGAGTTGGTTCCAGCTCATAACAACCCTGTGTAGGGTTTCCGATGATCGGCTGTTAGGTTTGAACTGCCCGTCTTGTGATTAGCAGTCCAGTGCTTCTACAGGACTCTACACTAGGACTCCTTAATGAGATTGGATGATGTCTAATCCCAGAGAGGACCTTTCAGCCTTTGGAGTCTTTGAGCATGGGCAGTAGGGTGCAGTGGGATGAGGAAAGGGGGGTAAAATCTTCTGGAGATGTGGGGGTGAGCATAATTTCAACACATGCATGTTATTAAGTGCCATCAAGTCAGTTTTGACTTACAGCAACCGTATAACAGGGTTTCCAAGGATTAGCACTGGACTACTAACCAACCTTGTGGTGAACAGCCCAGTGCTAATCCTACAGTACCACATCAGGACACCTGCATAGACCTTTCGTTGTCTGCTTCCAGGATAGGAGGAGAAGCCCGAGTTCCACTGTTAAGAAAAACTCCAGCTTTAAGAAACATAAAAGCTAAAATGCTGTTTTGTAGCTGGGTACCAGTGTTCTCAGGCCTCCTTGATCTAACCCAGCACCTGCTAACTAAAGGCAGAAAGGATGCCCCAGGATGTAGTGGAGGGTGGTACCCCGTGTTCATCCCTGGGCTGCTCCTTTTCCACCATCTATCGGCCATCCTGAGAGTTGCAGAGTCCAAATTAGATGATCAGGTCATCCCAAGGGAAGGAAAGTCCCTGACGTTCTGGCACCCCTGGGGTGGTTTGAGTAAAGAAAGGTGGCTTAATTAATTAAGTGATAAATTAACAAGGACAAAATTGCCCTCAAAGGGCTTTCTTTCAAGATATCAGATTTGCCTTGCATTCCTCGTCTGTAAATGAGGGTAAGAAATACCTTTCCTCAGTGTTCTTTTGGTGGTAGGTAATGAAATGGTGCTGTTTCCCAGCACCTGTCCATTCAAGAAACTACATTCTCAATATATTGTCAAGGTCAAGAAGTTCACCCAAGAACAATGGATTGAAGAATGGGATGGTGGCTGTTTGGCCAGTGGGGCTGGAATTCTTTATTCCCTTCCTTCTTTGTTATTCTCTTTCTCCCCACCCCCCCACCCCCGCCCCCTTTCCTTCTGACTACAAAAGCACTGGTTCTGAGGGCTTCCTAAGAATTTTTGAGATAATATGTGAGAACGCTTTATCAGCTGAAAAGTGCTGGGCTCATATGGAAGCTGTGATTAATATTCCGGCAGTGCAGCCTATGATGTAGAGGAAACTGAGTCTCCAGGATGCCCAGTATGACCACAGAGCTGTGAGGGCCTTTGGGCTTCTGCACAGACTGCCCCCTCTGCCTGAAATGCTCTTCTCAGATCCCTCTTGATCCTCAGGTTTCAGCTTCAGTGTCGCTGCTCTGGAGACCTCTTGCTTGACTTTTCAGACACACTAAAGACTTCCCCTGACCCGTGCCCTGTGATGATTTATATCGCCTCCCTCCCTTCTGTGCACCCATGGGTGAATCTCTTCTGTGTGTAGTTGTTTGCTGGTCTACTGTCAGCCCCTGTAAGCTTGCTGAGTGCAGCTCACAAGCTCTAGCTCCAGAGTGTAGACTCTGATAGACAATGGCCGGCCTGCTGGCTGAATGGGTGGCTGGGTGGAGTGCAGTGGGGCCTCCTGTGACTTCTGTGTGCTTCCTCCCCTTTGCAGTGAGCATGGAATTTGGGCGGGCTGTGTGGCTCCGGTTCCACCCATCGGCTTATCCCCCGTGCCCTCACCCGAGCTTCGTGGCGCACCTGGGTGGCGTGGCCGTGGGTATCACCCTGGGTGTGGTGGTCCTGAGGAACTATGAGCAGAGGCTGCAAGACCAGTGGCTGTGGTGGATTTTTGCGACCATGTACGCCATCTTCGTGCTGTTTGCCATCTTCTGGAACATCTTTGCCTACACGCTGCTGGATTTAAAGTTGCCACCGCCCCCCTGAGGGACTCCAGGACCCAGGTGGGGGAGGGGAGAAAGATGCAGCCCCAAGAGGACACCTCGGCATTCTTTTTTTCTCGTCACCAGTTGTGTCAGGCTGGGAAGAGGACAAGAGACACTGAGCTGCTGTCATTGTAGTGTTTACATTTGGACAATGAGGTGCTTTTCTCAAAGTTACCTGTCAGAGGTGTGGATTACAGCTACCATCATTTTTCTAGACTGTTCTGATGATGTTGGGCCTGGCTTTGGGCAGGTTTGTTCCATGCATTCAGGGTTTCCCAATCCCTGTCACCAACTGAGTGATGACCTTCTCCCTCATCTTGTTATTGTTGTTAAGTGCTGTCGAGTCGGTTCCGACTCATAGCGGCCCTGTATAGGGTTTCCAAGGAGCAATTGGTGGGTTTGAACTGCTGACCTTACAGTTAGCAGTCCAGTGCTGATCCTGTATAGCATCTCACCAGGACCCCACCCTGAGAAATCCTAAGAGATGGAAGGACAGTCTGAGGGTTTTAGTGCCAGGCAGTCCACTGTCCAGCCCCAAATCAATTGCAAGCCAGGAAGCATTTCCTTCACAGAAGAGGGCCTGCTGATGGACATGTTGGCTTTGGCTGGAGGGAAGCCCATCTGTGCCTGTGGGCACTCCGGCATGACTGCTAGTGCCTGGAGTAGGAGAGAAGGGAGGTGCTAGCAGCTCCAGGCCCACCCCCACCCCCTTGCCTGGAGGTACTCAGTGAGAAGGAAAATAAAATGACCTGGAGTCCACCCTGGGGAAGGTCCAGTACCTATTCTGGACTTTTGCCCTCTCTCTTAGAATGCTGACATCTCACACATCCCATGCCCCTGCCTGGTTTCTAGGGTCTTTTCCTTCCTTTTCAGTGGCCTGACCCTACGCTATACCTCTTCTTTGGTGATGTAGACAGTATTTTGACTGATTGTGTGTGTGTGTGTGTGTGTGTGTGTGTGTGTGGTTTGGCAGGCAGAGATGTATGTGATGAGAAAGATAATATGAGGCTCATAGACAGCTATAGAAGAGGCAGGTGTGTGTGGACAAGTCTGTGTGTGGGAAGAAAGAAGGTAGTGAGGGGTGGGAGGCTGGAAGGTATTGGGTGTGGGGTGCTTGCTGAGTATCCTTGCTTTTAGCGAAACTTGTTACCTTCTCTCCCATCCTCTGCCCCTTCCGGGTGCCTCCCTGAGAGCCTCTTGCCACTGGGAGAATGTTGTCAGTGATGGGAGGAAACTGGACCCTTCCAGGGACCCTCAGGGTGCCGAGGTTTTCTTCAGCTTGTATCCCTCTGGAATGGCCTTCAGGTCTGAAAAGGTTCTGTTCTTCTTTAGGAGGGAAGGAACTTTGAGAGTGAAAGAGAGGCTGTGGCGGGAATATGGAGGCCACATGTCCATTTGAATTAGGGAGACAGGAGACTGCAGTAAAAGGAATTCCAATTTAGGCACAAAAGTCACTTTGGGGCAAGAATTGTTGGGTGCTTGGATGAGAGTCAGAGGTGAAGGCATCCCATAGACTCAGATGCTTGGAGATTGGAAGGACCTCAGAGATTATCAATTCTACCCATACAGCTGCTTCTACTTAGGTGGGAAATTCAGCCTAGGAAATCACCCCATAGCAGGAGCTACACAGTTGAGGGTGTGGGAGAGATGGCTTTGACAAAGCATTCATTATATGTCATTCCTTTTATATGAAAGCCCAGAATGACGATGAACCCAGGTCTGGGAGGCAGAGGACTGGGGTCATGCAGGAACAAGGATAGAAATGTGAGGACTGCCCTGTACCCGCCTGATGCCCATCAGAGCTCATGTGTACCGAGGGCCAGAGTCACCCAGGTCACTGTGACATCCTGTTCCTAGTGACCACATATAAGTGGACAGGGTCTTCCCACCCCAGGTCATACCCACTCATCTTCGGCCAACATCAGCTCCTCAGGTCAATGCTACTGGTGTGTGGACTTTGTGCTGAGAACTCAGCCTGAGGTTTGGCAAGTCACGTCAGCCCAGGGCACTTCGCCTGTGCCCGACCTGCCCTTCTCTGTGCCCTAGGAGTGTCAGTGGAAGACTCCGCCTCTCAGGAGAGGAGTCTCTGAGGCTAGGAGAAAGGAACAAGACTTTGCCATCGTCGCCATGTTGCCGCCATGGGCTGCAGCCACTGCAGAGCCTAAGCAGTGCTGTCTCTTCTTGGAGGGGCAGAGGCAGCTGGGCAGACCCTCCAGATGTCTTTCCTGGTGTCTGAGATGTAAGTGGAAGGAGCAGAGTACCACCCTGCCTTTGTCTGAGTGTGGGCTGGAGATGGGTCGTCTTCTCTCAGGAGTGAGAAGGCAGTGAAATGGAAAATTCTAGAAAGCCATAGAGATACACGCAGGCTTGTTACTGAGAACTGCTTGAGACAGAAATCCCATCTCTCTCCTGTTAAGTCTGGGCTCTAGTTTCTGGGACATGCTAAGGAAACCTCATCTACACCTCAGGCTACCAACCCCAGCTGCTCCGTGTCAGCAGTGTCCACAAGCGAGTCAAAAGGTCTTTGGTCTGTTTAACACTCACCCCAACACCCTCTCACTTCACAGCAGGACCACACAGAGGTGACAATAGTGTTACCTCATAGGACCCAGGCCTCCAACTCAAGGCTGAGGGATAACTGTCTGGTGAGAGTATTTTACTTTTTGGTCTCTGGCTTTCTCCTCACTAGGTCTCTTAGTTCCCTCTACCCAGCAATACTTCCCAGTCCCGCCTCTTCTAATATGGCTGCCCAGCTGGCTGCAGGGGCCAGTGTAAATCTTCAGGCTGGTGGAGGTAAGTCAGCCTTTAATCCACAGGATACAGAAGCTGAAAGCTGGGGAATCCCCAAACAGCAGCAGTTGGCTCACTTGCTTGTTAAATGGAAGAGGAATCACAGAAACTGAGGAAAGAAAAACAAACCTTCAAAGGAGAAATTTCGTTTTAATGACACCATTAATCATTCGTTTTTTAATTAGGAAAAGCTCCCTAATGAGGCTCTTTTGCCACCTAATAGGACTCTCAATTTCCATGAGAACCATGCTCACCCAGAGGATTAGGGCAGTCATTGCTTACCAAGCCTAGATTTCCCTCTTCCCCCCCCCCCTTCCAATTTCATTAGCAAATAATGCAGATTCCCAGGTGAAAGCCTTTTCCTGGCATCCCTCACCTTGTCCCAGTGCAGGCTGGAATGCATAGATGCTCCTCTGCCTTCAATTACAGGGCCCAACGGTGAACTGCCCCTCCAAGCTCAAAAGAAACACAAGCTGCAGTGTTTGTTTCTAAATATTTTTGTATTGTGTATATTCTGTATATTTTTGTTGTAACATATTATTTGAGCACAGATATTCCATTAAAGATTTTTTTTAAGCCATTAATTTTGTAGGAAATGACCTGCAGGGTTGGCACAGGAACCTGCTTCAGCCCAGCCCTGGACCAGGGCAGGTGGGTGAGGGTGGCAGAGGAGCAATGATTTATAAACTACAGGTCGGATATCAGGGCAGGGCACCAGTCCTTCTAGGTTCTTAATCTTTCTTGAATTATTGGATTTTTTTGAATGGTTGAGAAAGTTGTGGTTGCTCTTCCTATGAAAATGCACACATATAGACAGTTTTGTATACAACGTTAGAGGTGGTGGAGTCTCTGGGTGGTGCAAATGGTCAATGGGCTTGGCTGCTAACCAAAGGTTAGAAGCTCCCATCCACCCAGAGAGACCTGGAGATCTACTTCTGAAAACGCAGCAGCCATTGAAAGGCATGAAAGCTACTCTGACGCCAGTGAAGAGCCGCTGACGCAGCAATCCTGGTGGAGGGCCTGCCTCGCTCTTCCACTCGTATACTATACCCTGATGAGAAATGAATATTTTGACTATCATGACTGGAGAAATCATCTTTGAATTAGCTCACCTCGATAGTCTAGTTTTCCAGTCTTTCCACCTCATCTTGAAAACAAGCTAGGAACGTCCCCAGGGTCAGTTCACATACGCAGAGGGGTAAAGAGTAGGGTAAGTGTCAAAGGTCAAGTCTGATGCTTGGCAGGTTACAGACTCAAGTTGGTCTTGAGTGGATAGAGATGTGGAAGAATTGTGTACACCAGTTTTTCTAAATCAAGGGCAGTGTGTGTAGTTTTTCCACTCATAATGTTAAATTTCATTTGTGGATTAAACTACCCTATTAAATTCAGCCTAAAGGCTTTTCTCCATAATGTCCTTCCCTGTTTTTCTGTGTATTATTTTGAAATGTTTCTAAATGCTGCAGAAAGCCATCTCAGAAGGTAGTTCAAGTTAAAGCTCATAAAGCCCACTTCTGTTTGGGAAAATGTTTGGAAAAGCTGGGCCTGTTTTGACACTGGAGTTCCTACTTGTCCGTTACCTGAGGCATTTAATAAAAGGCAAGCTTTAACATTGCTTTTGGCCTCATATCATTTCACTTTTCACTTTTCCGGTCCTCCTTTCTAGCAGATACTTAATCTTACAAAAATTAATAAGGTAATTTAGAAATGCAGTTTCCTGAGTAGCTGTTAGGCATGTGGATTGTTACATACTTTCTAGTCAATTCATAGCAGTTCTAGAAGGCAGAGTAGAACTACCCCATAGTGTTTCCTAGGCTGTAAATTCTTTACTTAGGAGTCCTGGTGTGGTGCTGTAGGATAAGCACTAGATTACTGACTGCAGGGTCGGCAGTTCAAATCCACCAGTCACTTCTTGGAAACCCTATACAGGCTCACTATAAGTCAGAACTGACTCGAAGGCACGTAACAACAAAAGACACTAAATAACTAAATATGTGGAAGTTTTGGGGTGTCTGTTTAAAGATCTAGTCTCCCTACATTAGGCCTGGTAGTCACAGTAATAAACCTTGGAATATTCACTTAGTGTTCATTTAATAGAATCTCCACTTTTCCAGTCCTCCTAGAAGTAGTTGACCAAAAACTACAGCTATTCATTTATTACTACTCCCTACCACCTCCTATTTCCAGAACACCCCTCTCTGCAATCTGTTGTTAAAGTCGGCGAGGTCCATTGAGTAAGTACAGCAGTTATGGAGCTGAATCTGCCTCTTAGACCTCCAAATGGAAAAATTTCATTCAAGTCAGTGGGGTTTCCATGAACTGAGAAGATACCGGTTAGGAAAATGTGGTCCTAGTAACAGAATCTCATTTCCAAGCAGCCTGCAAGCTTTCCTGGCATCTGGTATGAGTGATCCTCTGGTAAGGGACAGGCATCTTGTCGTGGTTAATAATGAATGAGAGAGAAAGGAAGTGACTTGGGTTATTGAGTCCTAGGAGTGTAACTTTACTGGACAATGAATAAAACATTCTAAAGGAAATTGCTCTCGCACCCTGCCTGGTGCCTTCCGAAAGATGTAGAAAATTGTTTCCCAGCAAATTCAATAGCATAACAAGTAAAATTTCCCGCATAAACTTTTTGGGAATTAAAAACATCAGGCTTGAGGACTGCACTCATTAAACAAAAAGACTAGCTCGATTAGAAGCTAAATTCTTTATTCTTCTTATTACAAGTATAATTAATACAAACTGAGACCTACTTTTGATGCATGACAGACATACATTTCTTCTGTGTGTACAGCACACAAATCATACATAAACAAATTTAGTCCGGGTCTATACATATTGTTGTAAAAACTTAATAAAAGATAATACATTAGCATATTGGTATTTGAATATAGTACATGTTCTTGTTCATGAACTCTGGGTGTTTTCTCATGGCCAGCAAAAGACTCAATTTCATGTCACCATTTTCCTAGTCTACAGAAGGGAGCTCGGGTAGCCTAATGGATTATGAGCTGGACTGTTAACCGCAATGTCAGTAGCTCGAATCTACCGGTCGCTCCAAGGAAGAAAGAGGAAGCTTTCTGCTCCCATAAAGATTTATAGCCTTGATAACCCTATACAGGGTCACTGTGAGTCAGAACCAACTCCACAGTACACAACCACCACCACCGCCTACCACAGAAGGGATATGTAGTTTGCCAAAGATTTTTAAAATAAGACTGTATTGTGTACAATTGTATAAAATAAAGACCCAAAATTACTATACACGTGTGCATATGTGTGTGTGTGTATACATACATACATACATACATATTTGTGTGTATGTGTATGTATAGCTATATATACAAGAGCGTGGTGGCTCCATACGATAAGCACTGGACTACAAACCACAAAGTCTGTGGTTCGAGCAAACTAGCCGCTCCACAGGAGAAAGATGAGGCTTTCTACTCCAGCAAAGATTTAAAGTCTTAGAAACCCTATACAGGGTCACTATAAGTCAGAACTAACTCGACATGACTTAACAGTAACAACAGTATATATATGCTCTGGTAGCGTAGTGGTTCTGAATCGGGCTGCGAACCTCAGGGTCCGCAGTTCGAAACTACCAGCTGTTCCGCGGGAGAAAGATGAGGCGTTCTGCTCCCATAAAGATTTAGAGCCTCAGAAACCCTGTACAGGGTCGTTATGAGTCAGAACCGACTCCACGGCACATATATATACATATACACATACATATATGCAGGGATTTCAAAAAGTTCATGGAAAAATTCCACTATCTTTCATTCAATTTTTCCATGAACGTTTTGATGCCCCCTTATATAAAGAATACATCATTGTATCTTGTTTATATTCATGAATGATTTGAAGTAGGCAACATATGTGCTTTCAGGTACCATTTATAACATGGACTCTTGACATGTTAATTTAAAAATTAAAAATGTTTTCCAGACTCAAAATTTTAATGTCCTAATATTACTTATTCAGGTTAAAAAAAAAAAAATTAGAGCAAAGAAGAGTGAAGAAAGTAAAATTTTCAAGGAAACAATTAGTCCAAAGCAAACCCCAGCTTTCACTAGCCTGAAACCAGAAGAGCTAGATGGTGCCCAGCTACACTACCTACTTGTTTGATTAGGATCAAAACAAGGTCCTGGACAGAGTGGGAGAAATATATAGAACAAAACTTAAAATCATAAGGAAGACCAGGCTTACTGGTCTGATAGAGACTGATGGAACCCCTAAGATGATGGCCTTTTGAAATTCTTCCAAGATGGAACTAAGCCCACTCTGGAGAACCACCTTGAACGTGAACAGAAATAACCCCAGTGAGGAATGTGCTCCTCAGAACAGTCAACCAGGCTGAGACCAAAAGAGCAGCATCTGCCCCCAAACAATGGCAATAGTGAACCCAGGGAGGAAGCAGGAAGAGTATTGCTACATTTGAGGGGTTTGCAACTAATGTCAAGAAACAAAATGTGTATGCATTGTTGAATGGAAAAGTAAATTGCTCTGTACACTTTCACCCAATCACAATCAAGTATTCAGAAAAATTTAGTAAAAAAATGGATTCCCATGTGGGCAATCAAGTACATTAGAACAAAGACAGTCATTTCAAGGTCAGAATCAGAATGCTGATTTTTTTCATAGTCATCCTAAATTTAATGTTATAAAAAAAATGCTACTTAGATTTTTCTATGCTGTCTACAGTGTAAGTTATTAAAGTTTAAAGGCCCATGAAAGCCTTTATGAGATACTGAATTGTATTTCTCATTAAAGGAAAAGAAATGGCTCAGTGAGTCATGTCCTGAGACTTCTGTAGAGAAGGCAGAAGACTACTGTCAGTTACTTTGAAAGCTAAAGATCAGCACTTACATACGAATTTAGAGCCGTTTTAAACAAGATTCCTCAGAGTTAATGGACCTGTGTCCCTCTGTCCCTCTGAGCATCCTAATCTCAGCAAAAGACATTATCAAATGGATTTGATAAATGAAGAGCTATACAGAACAAATTGCAATCATATGGGAGAGGCTACAACTGGCTTCCATGAGAGTTGTAAAGGGCTAGCTGAGGGCACTTTCAATTGATCCAGCATAAAACAATCTGAGGCTTGCAACAAATGTGCAAAGAACTAAAAACAAGAGGAACTCAGACATGAAGAATCTCTATTTGCATTATGTTAATTTACTGGCATTTTTTTGGCCCCCTTAACATTTTTTAAAAAAACCTCTAGCATTTTCGTGTAGAAGAAAGAAACTATAGGCTCTGGCAAGTCAGTAAAAAAAGTGATGGTACAGGCCACTTCTGTAGTAGATTTCTATCAGAGATGTCTGATTTTCATTCATGATTTGCATATTGACTCCAGAGCTGCCTTCACCATTGCCGCCATTGTCAATCAGACAAAAACTGTATCAAGCCCCCACAGAGTGCATAGACTTTCTTTGGAATGGCTGAGCAGCACTAACTCATCTGTCCTAAATCGAGGATTATACTCGTTAAACAAGAAGCTACAATCCATTGAGAAAGAAGAATTATGATCTTTCTGAGGAAAAAAGTTTCTAACTACTACAGCAAACTCCTGAGAGAACCTCCAAAATTACCTCTGACATTTTTTAAGCAACAACCTCCTGAATTCTAGAAATTATGGGACTAGCAGTATATTAAATTTTCACAAGTCTGACACATATGTATTATCTATTTAGGACTCAGTGAAGACGTTCCTCAGATTTTTAGGTTTAATTAAGTCAAATGTCAAAATTGCAAAAGAAAACAAATCTGAAATGAATTTCAAATCATCTTAAATAACCATCAGATTAATAACTAAAACAACTGCAATTTCAAACACCAAGGCTTGACTATCCCAACTACACAATACAATGATCTTAAAATGTGATCAGAAACTTTGGGTAAGAACTTCTTTCATGAATTCTTCGAGGACGGCTACCACATTTTTGGCTTCTGGCATTTCTTCATGTTCCACTTTCACAATCTTCAAAAGGGTATCTCCACTACCGCAGTTCTTTAAGAACAGGTAACATTTAAACAACGCATAATGATTCATTTCGGCCTGTCGGATAAACCTCTTCAAATTATTTGTGTCTTGTATGGCCTAGAAAAAGATCATCCAGTTAAATATGTAGTAGGATGATAATAAAGCTTGAAAACTGTCTCCTATCTAGCTGATAAAGGAGCTCTGGTGGCACAGTGGTTACGAGTTGGGCTGCTAACCTCAAGGTCAGCAGTTCAAAACTACCAGCTGTTCTGCAGGAGAAAGATGAGGCTTTCTGCTCCCGTAAAGACTTACAGCCTCGGAAACCCTAAGCAGGGTTGTTATGAGTTGAAGCCAACTCCACAGCACACCACCATTATCCAGCTGACAACTCATTATATCAGGGTAAGTCAAAAAGTATTGCTATAAAATCATACACATGTTTATTAAACCAAAATGTTAAAATGTGAAGTTAGTGCTTCTCAACATATCCTCCATCTAAGTCTACACACTTCTGAAGGTGGTGTTTCCATCTCTCTAACCCTTCCTTGAAGAATTCCTTGGTCTGCAATTTATGTCATGTCAAAGAAGTTTTGGTATCTTTGTGGTTGTTAGGTGCCCTCAAGTCAGTTCTGATTCACAGCAACTCTATGCACATCAGAACGAAACATTGCCCAGTACTGCGCCAACCTCACGAATTCAATCTTTACTCCATTTATCATGATGCAATTTACTGGTCCAGTTGTGAGGATTTTTGTCTTCTTTACATTGAGGTGCAATTCATACCAAAGGCTGTAGTCTTTTATCTTCATTACTATTTTAAGTTCTCTTTGTTTTCAGCAAGCAAGGTGGTTTCATTTCATTTCATGGCTGTTTCCATGAGTGTTGATTGTTGATGTAAGCAAACTTAAATCCTTGACAGCCTCAATCTTTTCTCCATTTATCATAATGAAATTTATTGGTCCAATTGTGAGTATTTTTGTTTTCTTTACATTGAAGTGCAATCCATACTGAAGACTGTAGTATTTGATTTTCACTAGTAAGTATTTTTAAGTCCTCTTTGCTCTCAGCATGCAAGGTTGTTTCATCTGCCTGTCACAGGTTCTTAATGAGTCTTCCTCCTACCTTGATACCATGCTCTTCTTCATATACTCCAGCTTCTCAGATTATTTCCTCAGCATACACACTGAATAAATATGGTGAAAGAATACAGCACTTTTCCTGATTTTAAACCATTCAATATTCCCTTAATGTGTTCAATAACAACAACAAGCATGCCCAACTGTTATGACTGCCTCTTGGTCTACGTACAGGACCCTCATGAGCACACTCAAGTGCTATGGAATGCCTTTCTTCTCTATGCTATCCATTGTTTGTCATGATCCACATGGTCAAAAGCCTTTGGATAGTCAATAAAGCATGAGTAAATATCTTTCTGGTATTCTCTGCTTTCAACCAAGATCCATCTGATGTCAGCAATGAGATCCCTAGTTCCATGTCCTCTTCTGAATCTGACTTGAGTTTCTAGCAATGGACTGTTACAGCCGTTCTTGAATTATCTTCTGCAAAATTTTACTTGCATGTGATTATTAATGATATTGCTCGATGATTTCTGCATTCCATTGGGTCACCTCTCTTTGGAATGGGCACAAATATTGATCTCTTCCAATAGGTTGGCTAGCTAGCTGTCTTCCAAATTTTTTGGCATGGATGAGTGAGTGCCTCCAGGGCTGCATCAGTTTCTTGAAAGATTTCTATTTGTATTCCATCCATTTCTGGAGCCTTGTTTTTCATCAATACCTTCAATGTAGCTTGGACATCTTCCTTGAGTACCACTGATTCTTGATCAACCTCTGGATATTGTTGAACAACTATTTCTTTTTGGTACAGTGGCTCTGTGTAGTCCTTCCATCTTCTTTTAATGCTTTCTGCATCATTCAGTATTTTGCCAATGGAATCTTTCGATATTTCAAGTTGAGGCTTGAATTTTTTCTTCCATTCTTTCAGCTTGAGAAACAATGAGTGTGTTCTTCCCTTCCAGTCTTTGCACATTTCATTATAATACTTGATTTTATCTTCTTGAGCTACCCTTTGAAATTTCTTCCATTTGTTTAGTATGTCTACACTAGAGAGCAAGTTTCAGAGTTTCTCTGGTATCCATTTTGGTCTTTTCTTTTTTCAATCTTACTGATCCTTTTTCATATTATCTTCTTGATGTCATCCCACAATTCTTCGGCTTTTCAGTCACTGGTTTCTAATGTATCAAATCTGTTCTTGAGATGATCTCTAAATTCAGGTGTGATATGTGCAAGGTCATATATTGGCTTTTGTAGACTTGTTTTAATTTTCTTCAGCTTCAGCCTGAACTTGCATATTGTGTTCCACAGTCTGCCCCTGGCCTTGTTTTGGTTAATGATACTGAGCTTTTCTACCATCTCTTTCCACATATGTAGTCAATTTGATTCGTATGTATTCCATCTGGTGAGGTCCATGTAATTGAGTTTTATGTTGTTTTAAAAAGGTATTTGCAATGAATAAGTCATTGGTCTTGAAAAATCTTAACAGGGGATCTCCAGCATCATTTCTGTCACCAAGGCCATATTTTCCAACTCCTAACCCTCTTTGTTTCCAATTTGGACATTCCAATCACCAATAATAATCAATATATCTTAATTGCATATTTAGTCAATTTCAGACTGAAGAAGTTGATAGGATTCTTCAATTTCATCATCAGTGGCTTTAGTGGTTGGTTCTTAAATTTTAATAACAGTGTTATTAACTGGTCTTCCTTGTTGTGACCAGTGGAGTCAGTTCTGATGCACAGTGACACCATATAGGGTTTCTGAGAAGCTTCTGGTGGATTTGAACCATCAACCTTGTCCAGTGCTTATCCTACAGCACCACACCAGTACTCCAGTAGCATATGGCTATTATCCTATCACAGACAACACTGTATTTCAAGATAGATCTTGAAATGTTCATTTTGAGGACAAATGCCCTGTCATTCCTTTTGAATTTGTTGTTCCTGGCATAATAAACCATTTGACTGTCAAATTCAGAATGACCAATACCAGTCTGTTTCAGCTCACTGATGTCTAGGATAGTGATTTTAATTTGTTCCATTTCGTTTTAAACAACTTCCTATTTCCCTAGATTCATACGTCGTACATTCCATGTTCTGATTATTAATGGATGCTTGCAGCTGTTTCTTCTCATTTTTAACTGTGCACCATCAGCAAATGAAGGTCCTGTTTACTCCATTCATATCACCACAGTCAACGCAACTTTGAGGAGGCAGCACTTCCACTGTCGTATTTAAGTATCTTCCAACCTGAAGGGCTCATCTTCTGGCATCTATCTGACACTGTACTGCTGGTATTCATCGTGTTTTCATCTTCCAGCACAATATCTGACAATGTGCCAAGGCTGTTCATAAAGTTTTCAGAGGGCAGACATTCAGAAGTAGTCCGTCTCTCCTTCCTCCTAGTCTGTCTTAGTCTAGAAGCTCAGCTGAAACCTGCCCACCATGGGTGACCCTGCTGGTGTTTAAAATACCGGTGGCATAGCTTCCAGAATCACAGCAACATGCAAGCCACCACAGTAAGACAAACTGACAGATGAGTGGGGGCATCCTAGAGGGATTAAAATCATGTTCCTTTTAGTTCGGGGAACAAAGAGAAACCTCAAAGGACAAGATCAGGGATGTATGGTGGATGGGGTAAGGTTTTCTAATGAAATGCTCCTAGGACAGTCCTTGTGCCCTCAAAGAATGTGCACTGCCATGATGGGAAATATTGCTCAGAACAATTTCCTGGGCTTTCTCACTTAGATGGTTTTCCATTTTCTTAAAACTTCTTCATACTAAGTCCCCGATCATCTTGTATTCTTCGTTGCCATCACCCTTGAAGCTGACCTGCCTGATTTAAATTACAAGGCCCGAAAGATCCCCTTGGAAACCAAGGCTTTGATTGGACCTTGTTTTTTACAGACACCCTAACCCTAAGTAGACTAACTAGACACCACAGTAGTCCTGGTGTGGCACTGTGGGCTAATGCATCAGACTGGAAAGTCGTTTGTCATTTGAACTGCAAGGTCAGTGGTTCAAGCTCACCAGCGGCTCCTTGGAAACCCTATTCAGGGTTGCTACGGGTCAGAACTGACTGGATGGTACTTAACAACAACTAGACTAAAAAAAGTGTATTTCCAAGAGAATTTGCCTGTATCCCCTGATTACACAGACAAGATTAATACACTTGTATTATTTGGAATAAACCCATGCATGTTTATGGACTCCTAGGAGCAATACTTTTTAATTTACCCTCATACATTCCTGAGTTGTTTGGTTCTTAGTTTTAAATATTTCCATCATTTTTTTTGCTAATATGTTTTACAACTCAGTAGGACAAAAGTTCCTATATGAAGTAAAAATACTTTCAAAAACATCTCCTAGATAAAGCAACAAAACTCCCTTCCCATCCCCAGCCCTGCCCCCAGTTTTGAACCCTTAGGCACTGGATCAGGTTTTTGTGCTCTGCAACTAAAGATCCATCACAAAGTAAATATAAGCTAAGTGTTCAAACCACTTAATTAGAAATAAAAGGATATACATGCACAAGCCACTTAAAAATATAAACAAACGCTCCCTGAGGATCCCAATTTGGGAGCATCCTATTAGTAGACACGGCAGCTCCACAGCAGATTTGTTCCACTGTCACTGACAACAATGAAAACTCACATGAACAGACTGTGGGGCCTGGTACACAGCCAACTAATTACCTTTAATTTAAAGTTCTCCAGTACTTGTCGGAAAAGAAAAGGATTGCCCCCTTCAGCACCATTTAGAAATGCCTGCATCCAATCCTCACAAAACCGGTTGCTTCCTATAAAGTACATTGGGAAATTAAATAAATTTAAAATGTAATCCTACAAAGGCATTTATCTTTCTTCAAAAAAACACTTATAAATGGAAACAAACAAACAAAAACATTTATAATGAACAATTTGACACTTCTATAATAGTTAAAATAAAATACGCATACCCACCCCTACCTATGTACTCAATACCTGGCTATGTAACACCAAAATGGTTAAAGCCCTTGAGTAACCCTCCCAATCATACCCCACTCGTTTCTCATCAGAAAGAGTTTCCATTTAGTTCTTTCTATGGTTAGTTGGTTGGTTACGTCAGTTTCCACTCATTACAACCCTGTATAGGGTTTCCAAGGCTGTAAATCTTTACGGAAGCAGAAAGCCTCACCTTTCCTTCTCAAAGTGACTGGTAAATTCAAATTGCTGACCTTGTGGTTAGCAGCCCACTCATAACCCACTACACTACATTTTACTACATTAAAAAATATATGTATCCTGGCGTGGCGTTGTAGAATAAGCACAGGACTGCCAACTACAAGGTTAGCAGTTCAAACCCACCAGTTAATTCTCAAAGCCTATACAGGGTTTCTATGAGTCGGAACCAAGTTAACGGCACTTAACAGCAACAACAGGAGTCCTGGTGTGGCACTGTACAATAATGCACTGGACCGCAAAGTTGGTTTAAACCACAAGGTTGGCAGTTCAAACTCACCAGCCACTCCTTGGGAACGCTATATAGGGTTGTTATGAGTCGGACCCAACTTGACAGTACTTAACAGCAGCAAAAAGCAAGCCCTGTAGAGGAGCATTTTGTGTACATTAAGACTTGACGTACTTTTCTCATGGCTTATCTTACTAAATAGGATGGTTCTGAGCTATATTGATACATGCAGCTTTAACTTAGTCACTTTCATCCCATACAGCAGATTATCAATTTTCCAATTGATGAACATTTAGGTTGCTTCCAATATTTGCTATTTCAAACCATGACTTTTTAAACCCTTGTTTGTACATGTCTCCAGGGTACAAGAGTTTCTCTATATTCCTAGGAGTAGAATAGTTGGATGTGGCCTCATCGGGGTTTCAAAAACTACAGTTGTTTTTAGCAAATTTGGGATAGACTTGTAAAGCGGCACAAGGCAGAAAGAGTGACTTTGCACCATCTTTCTCAGTGCAAAAATGAAGAGGCACAGGAATGGGGATGGCTGCTTACCTGCATTGAAGAACCGAGGCTGGGAGCTACTACAATCGATGACCACAGACTTATGTTGCTCCTCTGTCATAGCCATGCACAAAGATGTCACGGTGCCCTCATGAATAAGTCCTTGAAGACTGGCCACACTCAGAAACCTGTCACACATACAGGCCCGTTTCCACAAACAAGGTTACAGAACAGGAGGGGAAGAGCAAATTCATTCTGTACTAGGGAGGTTTTAGTAAAAATCAGACTGTGTGTGGAAAAGGTTCTGTCTTCAAAAACCATGTTGTTTACCTGTCAATGTCTCTCTTTGTTTTTTCATCTGATTCCTTAACCTCAACAGGAGTATAACTCAGAGCCTACAAGAGAAAAATAAAGCCTGGTGGATACATATAGTCTGGTTTGTCCTACTAAGCAGCTACTTGTGACTAAACGTCACCTTCTCAAATCACCACCACATCAGAAGATTAATGGCACCACACAGGAGCCCTGCAGAGCCTTGTTCAGCTGTTGCGCACTAAAGCTGAGATCTAACCGTACTGCCTTGTTCTCATCTCATCTCAGCATTTATCCACCATGTAAAATGAAAAGCTCAGTCATACACTCAATCCTCTGCTATTGTCTGCAAATGTTAGTGAACTGTTCAATTTTAATCCACTTTTTTTTTTTTTTTTACTTTTTGTTGTGAATTGAGGGAAGGTTTATAGAGCAGATCATCAATTTTACATTCAACAAATCATATACTTCGTTTCATTACAATATTTGCAATCCCTGCATATTCCATCAGTTTATCCAGATACTTATATATGCCTAAAATCTCACTAGATTTTTTTTTCCACTTTATATTGTGAATTGAGTGAAGGTTTACAGAGATCTATTTTTCCATTCAACAACTTACACACATTTTGTTTCAAGTCATTGACTGCAGTCCTCACAAAGTAACATCACTTATCTATCCCATTACCTCCCTGGGTTTCCTATTTTCATTCCTCCTCCTTTCCTAACCCTTCTGAACTTTGTCCTTGGATAAATGCTGCCCTTTGCACCTCAGATGGCTGATCAACTTAAGGAGTGATTGCCTCCCTGGCATTATTGTTCACCTTATAAGCCTGTCTATTGTTTGGCTGAAAATGGAACTGGGGGGTGAGTTCATTTTCAGACCTGAAGGGTAACTAAGGACCGTAGTCTCGGGGATTCCACAAATCTCTATACAACCAGTATGTCTGGTCTTTTCTATGATTTTGAGTTTTGTTCCAGTCTTTTCCCATTCTATCCAGGGCCTTCTAATATGATTCCCTTCAGAGCAGTTGGTAGTGATGGCCGGGCATCATTTAGTTCTTCTGGTCTTGAGATCATGGAGATGGATGTTCTTACAGTCCATTAATCCACTGGACTAATTGTTTCTATATGTCTTTGATTTTCTTCACTCTTCTTTTTTCCAGGTAGGGAGAGACCAATAGTTGCATCTTAGATGGCTGTTCATCAGCTTTAAAAAAAAATTTTTTTTAACATAATGCAATATGTTGATTGACATCCATTTTTTTTTTTCTTGTCTTCTTTGTTACCCAGATTAATACATCTACCCTCTAGCCAGTGACTTACTCTACCTTCGGTTCCACCTCTGTTGTTGTTAAGTGTCTCTGAGTTGGTTCCATTGCATAGTGATCCTGTATAGGGTTTCCAAGGAGTGGCTGTCAGTTTGAATTGCCCACTTTGCAGTTCAAACTGACCTTGTAATCCAGTGCTTATGCTACAGTGACACACCAAGACTCCCCTCCCATCCCTGGTAACCATCAAAGAATGCTTCTTTCAGCATGAAAACCTTTTCTTAATTTTTTACGACGGTGGTCTCATACAATATTTGTCCTTTTGTGATTGACTAATTTGTTCAACAAGGAGCACAATGACTCTGTAGGATAAGCACAAAACTGTGAGACACAAGCTTGGTGGTTTGAATCCACCAGCCATTCCACAGGAGACAGATGAGGCTGTCTGCTCCCACAGAGATTTACCACCTCAGAAACCCTATATAGGATCACTCTGAGTCAGTGAAGACACTTAACAATATCATCTAGGTCCATTCATGTTATGAGATGTTTTGAAGATGCATCACTATTCCTTAAGGCTGCAAAGTATTCCACTGGGTGTATAAACCATATTTTATTTATCCATTCTTCCATTGATGAGCATTTAGGTGGTCTCCATCATTTTGCTACTGTGAATAGTGCTACAATGAACATGGGTGTACCTATATATAACTGTGTCTCAACTCTTTATTTATAGAGAATATGTACCAAGTAGAGAAATTGCTGGATCATATGGTATTTCTTTTTCCAACTTTCAGAGGATGAGCCATATCGTTTTTCATAGTGGTTATACCATTTTGCAGTCCCAGCAACAATGCAGAAGGGTATCATCTCTCCACAACCTTGCCAGCATTTGTTGTTTTCTCTTTTATTGAACTTTCCTATTAATGCTGGGTGAGAAGATATATCACTGTTGTCTTGATATACATCTCTCTAAAAGACTTAAAGAGTCCTGGTGTGGCCCTGTGGGTTAATGCACCAGACTGCAAAGCCATTTGAGCTGCAAGGTTGGCTGTTCAAGCTCACCAGCTGCTCCTCAGAAACTCTATACAGGATCGCTATGGGTCGGAACTGACTTGACAGCACTTAACTACAACAACAAACAATAGACTTAAAATATTTACTTATGAAGATCAATTTATATTCTAAGCAAATAATCCAAGAAAATGGACATGAGAAGAATATGACACCAGGATTGGAAGAAGACTCATTAAGAGCCTGTGATATGAAGATGTTACAACCTTGTTAGCTGAAAGAGAAGTGGATTTAAAAAACACTTACTGATGAAGATCAAAGACTACATACAGCCTTTAGTATGGGTTGTACCTCAGTGTAAAGAAAACAGAAATCCTCACCACTGGACCAATAAATAACACCATGGTAAATGAAAAAAGATTGAAGATGTCAAAGAGGTCATTTTACTTGGACCCATTATCAACACTCAAGGAAACAAGTAATCAAATCACATGTTAATTAGGCAAATCTGCTGCAAAAAACACTCCTTTAAAGTGTTAAAGAGCAAAGATATCAGTTTGAAGACTTAAAGGTGTGCCTGCCTCAAGTCATGGTATTTTCAATTGTCTCATATGCATGTGGAGTCCTGGTATGGCATTGTAGGATAAGCACTCAAACTCAAGGTTGGTTTGAGCTGCAAAATCAGCAGTTCAAGCTCACCATCTGCTTCTCAAAAACCCTATACAGAGTGACTATGAATCAGAATGGACTCTATGGCACTTAACAACAACAACAACTATGCATGTAAAAGTTGGACAATGAATAAGGAAGATGACGGAAGAATTGATACATATGAATTATGGTGCTGAAGAAGAATAAAAGTATCATGAACTGCCAGAACAAATAAATCTGTGATGGAAGAAGTACAGCTAGAATGTTCCTTAGAATCCAGGATGCCAAGACTTCATCTCTCATACTTCGGACAAGTAGGGCGCAGTCCCTGGAGAAGGCCATCATTCCTGGTAAAGTGAGGGCGGGTCAGAGAAAAAGAGTAATACCTCCAACAAGACAGATTGACAGTGGCATCAGCAATGGGCTCAAACACAACAACTGTGAGGATGATGCAGGACCAGGCATTGTTTCCTTTTGTTGTGAGTAGGAATTGACTCAACAGCCCCTAAGAACAACACATGACTAATGGTCACAAGTTCATTCTTCGTATGTTTGCTGGCTGCCTGAATGTCTTCTCTGGTTAAGTGTCTGTTCATGCTCTTTGCCCATTTTTTTATTGGATTATTTCTTTCTCGTTGAGTTGTTCAAGTTTTCTATACATTTTAGAAATTAATCCCTTGTCTAGCATGTTATTACCCACAATTTTTTCCTGATCTCCTTTTACTGTTTTTGGTGAAATCTTTCATTGCACATAAGTGTCTAATTTTAGGCAGTCCCAGCCATCTAGTTTGTCTTCTACTTTTTGTGTTTTCAGTTATGTTCCATAGTGTATTTATGCCACTTATCAGAGTCATTAAGTTTATTGCTAGTTTTCACTGATCTTTATAGTTCTAGGTTTCACATTTAGGTCTTTAATCCACATTGAATTAGTTTTTTTAAATGGTGTGAGTTATGGGTCTTATTTCTTTGCTTCCTAGGTGTTATTGAGGATAACCAACCCAGAAGCAGTTCCTAGAGGCCCTTAAAGTAACTAGATTCAGTGTCTAGGGCAGAGAGCAGCTAAGGGCAAGGTCCCTTACTGGTAATGCTAGTCTCTGCTAGTCTAGGGCTGGTCTGGAGGTTGTACAGGCTTAGCAGGTCTGCAGCAGTGTCCATCTGAATCCAGGGACCAAGGCAGCGCAGCTGACACCCACCTCACACAGATTACTGAGTGACCCCAAACTTCTGAAGAGTAGGGCCTATGCTGGCTGTGAAAAAGGGTGGAAGTAGGCCACACCTCTGGTAACCGGGAAAGCAGGGGAAACGAGAGAACTGCACCGTTCCCATCACCAGCCACCAGTGTGTGTCTGGGCTGCCAGGCCACTGTTTTTCTCCAGAAACGTTCAAAAGATGACTATGTTGTGTCCGGCTGGCAGGCTGTTCTCCAGCCTGTCTTCTTCCTTGGCCGCCCTTGCTCAGCTTCTCCTCCCACTTCTCTGTCCTTCCTTCTGAAGCTCAGGGATCCAGGGTTGTCATCTGAGTCGGCTTCATTTGGTCTTCCGTATCTTTGTTATAGTAGATCTGTGTAGCTGTCTGCCTAGACTGCCATCTTTCTGGAAATCCCCTGCTCATGAACTTTTTAGGATCCTAGTCGCTACTCAGAAAGAGTAGGATGGAGAACATTGTCTTTGTGGACTGTTGTGCCAATTGGTGTTGGTGTGCCCGGAACCATGGTCCTGAGTCCCCAGGCCCAGCAACTCAAGGTATTCGGTGATAATGAAGTTTTCATAACTTTGCCCCCTATATGCTCCACATTTTTATATTTCTTCTCAAACTGCTTTAGAAATTGTATCACTCCCAGATCATTTTTTAATGATTTTATCATTATTTTTATAACTATAAAAAATTATTTTAAAATGTTTATGCTATTAGGAAGACTTAGCCGGCATTTACAATGCAGTGTAGTAATCTGTCTAGATCTAAGTCAAGAAGGTGCAGTCCATCTTCCTAGTAAGCAGAGTTTGAATGGATATTCAAGGGAAAAAGGAATGAATATTCAGAGAAAAATGGGTGATATCCTTAAATAACCCAAACTCTGCCAACGTGGGTCCTGATTAAGGAAATACTTTTGTTTGGGCAATACTTACAGCGTGGAGCAGAAAAGTAAGTTTCTCCTGAAAGAGAAGAACCACCCTTTGGATCGGGCATACAACATCCTCAAACCAGCTGTTCAGGTAGGACTTTATGGGATTCTCCAGACCCTTTTCCTAGATCAGAGTAGAATAAATTTGCTTTAGCATAAGTCTTCACTTTAGTAGACTGAACATTTTCTTTATGATACCCTTGACAGTGAAAAAAAAAAAAAAGGAATACCTTCTCTATTAAAGCTCACTGTCTAAAAATCCACAGGACAACTTTGTTTAGTCTGTTGAATGACGGAGGCAAGGTAAACAGAGTTCATTCTGACTCAAAATTTAAATAGGGAAGGTAGCGGTTGACTCGCCAAGCACTGAAGTCCAGGCCAGTTCTCAGACAAAGTACCCAGGAGCTTCTGCTTTCTCAACTATGCTGCTCCCTAGGGATTTGTGTCACAAAGGAACAGCTCCAATTTGAGAGAGCGGCTCCCCAGACTCACAGTCCTAGCTCCTTCCTGTGCTATCCTTCCCTCTCCTCCTGCAGCATTTTTGTAGAGACCTGACAAATGAAAGCAGCTATTCCTACCTGGAATGGGTGCTAAATTTTTAAGAGTCATGACTTCAACAAATGCCATAAGCAGTTTTAAAAAGGTGTGGATAAATTAATCAATAGGGATGTACTTAATTCATAAAAGATCAATCAATGAAGAATGGAATGTTCCTAAAAGTCTGTACTGTGGCATTCAAGGATAGCCATGTCACTGCACACCATGTCTGTGATGCCAGAGGTGCTGTGGACTATCAGCCTAGTTCTGACCAGAAATGTGAATTTCAGAGACTTAGGAACCGAACCAGAAGAGCACCTTCTTCCTCACCTGGCATGCTACCACATGCCATCAAATTTAATGGATTGAAATGTTCATGTTTACAAAACATCAGAAGTCTTCTGAATCTGAAAGCACTTGTAAGACAATGCTCCTGTTTCCCTTAATCAGACTTGCCCATAAAGAAGCAATTTTTTGGAAATGATTTGTCTTTGAGTCCCACCTATGATTTGACACTATAGCTGTAACAGATGTTCATCAACTCAGTCTTAAAATACAACCAAAAACTATTAAATTAGTCATCTTACCTCACAGTTCATGTTGTCTTTTAGCCCTTGAATATACTTGTCCAATTCAAGCCTGAAAGTACATTCTTAAGGAAGTAATAAAGGATGAAAAAAGACAGGGTTTTATCTCCCAATATGAAATCTAAAATTGCTCAAATAACACAAACTGCAAATTAAAACAAGCTAAGACAAAGTGGTTACATAAAGTTAAGAAATTCAAGTAAATACATAAGTGGGTAGAGAAAGTTTTTAAAGGTTGGTAGTTTTATTCCTGCACTTGCCTTCCCTGGTTTTCCTTCTTCATATCCTTTAAAGACCCGTGAAAGGATATAGCTCAAGTCCTTTTTCAGACCCTCCTAAAAAACAGCATACATACTCTGAAGGTTTACACTCAGAGTCCACTGCTGCTGCTTCAGGAAACAATTTGTCTTGTTGAAAAAGGCAGTAGTAACAGCCGACTCGATACCCTGGAGAACTGGAAAGGTAAAGTAAAGGTAAAACATCTTGTTTGGGTCACTCAGGGAATCTGCTGCAAAGACCTCTTTAAAGTGTTAAAGAGCAAAGATGTCAGTTTGAGGACTAAGGTGCACCTGACCCAAGTCATGGTATTTTCAATAACCTCATATGCATGTGAAAGTTGAACAGTGAATAAGGAAGACTACAGAAGAACTGATGCATTTGAGTTATGCTGTTGGAGAAAAATATTAAAAGTACCATGAACGGCCAGAAGAACAAACAAATCTATTGGAAAAAGTATAACCAAACTGCTCCTTAGAAACCAGGAGGCAAGACTTTGTTTACATCTCATACTTTGGGCATGTTATCAGGAGGGACGTGTCCCTGAAGAAGGACGTTATGCTTGGGTAAAGTAGATGGTAAGTGAGAAAGAGGAAGATGTCCTACAAGATGAATTGACACAGTGGCAGCAGCAATGGACTCAAACATAATTATTGTGAGGCGGAGGCAGGACCGGGCAGTGTTTTGTTCTCTTGTGCATGGGGTCGCTGTGAGTTGGAGCTGACTCAATGACACCTAATAACAATATGCATCTAATTTTGTGGACTACTGTACATCCTGGTCACCTGTCTCTGACAAAGCTAATGACTGCCACTAGTCAGCTTCCCAGACTTCTCCCTTTGTTTACTCGTAACAGCAGAGGAGCAGAAGTGGATACTTTAATGGCCTCTAGCCAAAGCAGTGCCTCACAAATATGAAATTGCTTTGAATTCTCTTGAGAAATATGCTATGTTTATCTTGTCTTATTCTTGGGCCATGGATTCTGCTCCTGGGGGGATTTGAGTGGCAACATCACAGTCTAAAATGGAATACAACCAAGAGGTATACTGGAAAGACAGCTGGAACTGGATAGAGAAGATCAGTATGTCCAAACCAGCACTCCATTGATGTGAACAGATTTAGGATCTTGGTCCCCCATTTAAGTTGAGTTGATTTCCTCATCTGCTCTGTCTCAAACTTTCTAGAGAAAACTGCATTAAACAAAAGTTTGTGAAAGCACTCTATAAAGTATAAAGTATACACTTGTAGTTACTTCATTGGGTTTTAGTAATGAACTCTTTTCCTCCAAGTAGGAACTAAATGAACAGGAGGAAGAGTCTCTACCATTTAGTTCATTCCATTCCACAAGGTTTATGAGTCAGTCCCAGTGCATGGGCTGCCAGCAACAAAGGTAAGCCTCCTGGGTCTGGTAGGAGCTGATCTTTTGGAGTTTCTCAGCACTTCTCATTTTCAGCTCAGAAATAAAACCTCAGGACACAGCACATTTTTGCACTTACCTCAGCTCCAGGGATGTAACATTACCCAGTCCTTCAAAGACTGCTCCCTTGGAAAGACGCTTAACAATGAAACTGCGCAGCTGTGGCTCCACTTCAGATGGTAGATTAGTGTCCACCAAAGAAAGGCTTGTCAAATGAAAGACACACAGTCCTTACCAGTGAATTACTGCCTTCACACACCATAAACCAGACAGAATGCTATTTAAAGCCCAGGACTCTTTTAAGGACTTGAGAAAGCTCTCTCTCTGACCCCTTGCTGATACCTCTAAGAATGCAGATCATCACCAAGATCCATCTCAATAGTTTAAAATGTTTCTCTATTTCCACCTTTCTCTCTAGTACCCTGATTCCATGCTGGTCCCCAATCTACTGATATCCATAGTCTCCAGCCTCACCTTAAGTTACAGCTCATTAACTTTGAGTGGACCATTTCTGCTGCCAGCTCTCACCCTTTCCTGATCCATTTGCTCTTCTGCTCCCCTAGATAAAGGAGCTCTGGTAGAGTAGTGGTTACGAATCAGGCTGCTAACCTCAAGGTCAGCAGTTCAAAACTACCAGCAGTTCCACAGGAGAAAGATGAGGCTTTTTGCTTCCATAAAGATTTACAGTCTTGGAAACCCTGTACAGGGTCACTATGAGTCAGAACCGACTCCACGGCACATAACCACCACCACCATTCCCCTAGATCACTGTTTCATACCGTCTCCTCTTTCATCAACTCTCCAACTACCTATTACCGTAGATTGAACACACTAGCTTGATGGTGGTGGTGTGCTGTGGAGTCGGTTTCAACTCTTAGTAACCCTGCATAGGGTTTCCGAGGCTGTAAATCTTTACAGAAGCAGAAAGCCTCATCTTTCTCCTGCAGAACGGCTGGTAGTTTTGAACTGCTGTCCTTGAGATTAGCAGCCCAACTCGTAACCACTATGCTACCAGAGCTCCTTAACACACTGGCTTATTTTAGTTTATGAACTAAAAAATCAGAATTTCAATTAGATTTAGAGTAGAATATAAACAGAAACTATAACCTGAATATACAAGAAAAGGTTATGAAACCAATACTTTTCAATAATTGTTGTTGTTATGTGCCCTGGAGTCAGTTCCGACTCATGGAGACCCTGCACAGGATTTCCGAGGCTGTAAATCTTTACAGGAGCAGAAAGCCTCATCTTTCTCCAGCGGAGCCGCTGGGAGTTTTGAACTGCCGACCATGAGGTTAGCAGCCCAATTCGTAACCATTACGCTACCAAAGCTCTTCATAATATAACCTGTTGTTGTTGTTAAGTGCCATCGAGTTGGTTCCTACCCATAGCAACCCTGTACAGGGTTTCTGAGGCTGTAAATCTTTACGGGAGCAGAAAGCCTCATCTTTCTTCCACGGAGCAGCTGGTAGTTTCAAACTTCTGACCCTGAGGTTCACAGCCCGATTCGTAACCACTACGCTGCTACTAGAGCTCGTTTTTCAATAACTGTCTCTGCTTGTTACCAAGGGCACTGTGTGTGTTTGGATCTGCCCCAGCCTTGAAAGATGAACCAATGAGGTAACTAGGATGAGGTTCCTAGGAGACCAGCGGGTTTGATGGTTTGACTGAGGAAAAGCTCAGTGGAAATAGGGTACTCGCTGACATCTACAGGCCAGAGGTGCAGAACAGATAAAAGCATAGGAATGAATTATGGTTAAGCTAGTTTTACCTGAAATCGTCACCGGAAGGAGTTTCTGTATTTGTGCCACTTGCATCATCACTGTCTCCTCGATGGTGTGCCAATCTGCACGTCACAAGAACAATACTGCTCTCAGTTATGAGATGGACTCAGGGGGTATGGATGGGGTGTGGGAGAGGCAGGCAAGAGTTAACTAAAAACGTGGCATGAGTCCTCCTCTGCCTACCTTCATAGCTGGGAAAACAAACACAGAAAACAGTGCTGACAAGAGTCCCTTCTCTCTCTAGGTCCACACAAGGGGCGGGAGGAAAGGCTAAACAGAAAACACAAGCAACTTCCTTTTAAAAACCAGGCTTTAGAGACCCAGGAGGGCCCAAAGAAAGTCAGCCCACCCGTGAGGGTGGAAAAATACAGGCAATTTAAGAGGGTACCAATAGCTGATGGTGGTGGGTGGGCGGGACTGAAATTCTGGAAAGTTTAAAGAGATAAGACAGGAAACATGGGAATGGGAACTGATATCATTAAGCTTGCCTGGCATTCCACTAAACAAAGAACAGAGGGACTGAGCCCATAGGGACACATGGAGGACACAGGCTTGGGAGGGCCAGTCCTAAAGGTCTGGTATGAGGGCTAGGGTGTAAGGCCCACCGGCGGGGCAGGGGCGGGGCGTCTCCACCTGCTTCCGCGGTAGCTGTACAGACTGTAGTGGCTGCTGGGTGGTAGCTCGAGTCTCCGCTCCTCCGCAGAACCACCCTCCTCGCTGCTCTCTAGCTCTTTTTCATCTCCATCCAGTGATTCTTGCAAAGAGGGGAGCATTGCGGCGATCTCCGAGCGGCCTTGTGTCCCCACCAAACCGCTCCCCCGATGCCGTACAGTCCTTTGTGGCTGGGCTCCTCCGGCTCCTGGGCCTTGCACACCTGCGTTCCGCTGATTTCCCCAGGTTCTTAAGGAAATTGACATGCGTGTTTCTCCCCACTGGCTAGCAGGCTTGTTTTGTTTTGCTGTTTCTTTGTTTGTTTCTGTTTTGTTTTTTAATCTTATTTTGTTGTTGAGACTATACACAGCGAAACATACATGAATTCAACCCTTTCTACTTGTGCAATTCCTTTTCTGAGTTGTTCCTCCACCATTAGCGTAAACTAACTGTCCTGTAAGCTTCCATCTAATCGCTCCAGTTGCTGTTATTACTATGATCCCATATGTAGATAATTCTTAAAAGAGAAAAATATTCAAAGCAGACTTTTTTTTTGTTTTTTAACTAGTTAAGCTAAACTATTGTTTGGTTTTAAGAAGACTTCAGGAAATATTTTTTTGCTTATGTATTAAAGGTTATTGGCGCTGTGGGTTAATGAATTGAACTGCAAAGTTGGTTTGAACCACAAGGTCATCAGTTCAAGCTCACCAGTTGCTCTTGGGCAACCCTATACAGGGTTGGTTGCTATGGGTAAAACCAACTCTATGGCACTTAACAACAAGGGTAATAGTTTCTGGAGTTCATCTAGCCATCTTGGCTCCAGAAATTCTAAAATCCAAGTATTAGGCTACTGAGTTCAGTTTTACTGAAAACCTTTTGCCATTATTCCATTAACTAATTTTTCTCCTCATTTATTGGTGGTTTCTCTACACTGGAGAGCAAGTTTTTAGGGTCTCTCTGACATCCATTTTGATCTTTTCCTTCTTTCTTGTCTTCTTAATGACTTTTTGCTTTCTTCATGTATAATGTTCTGAATGTCATCCCACAACTCTTCTGGTCTTCGGTCTTCAGTGTTTAATGTATCAAATCTGTTCTTCAGATGATCCCTAAATTCAGATGGGATATATTCAAGGTCATATTTTGGCTCTTGTGGACTTGTTTTCATTTTCTTCAGCTTCCGTTTGAATTTGCATGTGAGTAATTGATGGTCTATTACACAGTCTGCGCCTGGCCTTGTTTTGACTGATGATATGGAGCTTTTCTATCGTCTCTTTCTGCAGATGTAGTCAATTTGATTTCTGTGTATTCCATCTGGTGAGGTCCATGTGTATAGTCATCTCCTATGCTGTCTAAAGAAGGTATTTGAAATTAACAAGTCATTGATTTTGCAGAATTCTATCATGTTTCTCCAGCATCTTTTCTATCACCAAAGCCATATTTTCCAAAACTGAAACTTGCTCTCCAATGTAGAGATGCTAAAGCAAATGGAAGAAATGAAGCGGTACAAGAGATGAACAGAAAATATCAAAGATCAGCTCGAAAAGATAAAGCCAAATATTACAACAAAATGTGCAAAGATCCGGAATCAGAAAACCAAAAGGCAAGAACATGCTCAGCATTTCTCAACCTGGGGAAACTGAAGAAAAAAATTCAAGCTTTGACTTTCGTTAATGAAAGATTCTCTAGGCAAATTATTGAATGATGCAGAAAGCATCAAGAGAAAAATGGAAGGAATACACAGAGTAAGGAACGCTGAGGTGTGAGGCAAGAGTAACCATGGCTGTGACGGTTCTGTGCTAGCCGTGATTCTCAGTGAGTTAGCAGTTACGTAAGATTTAGCTGTACCCTATTTTGTGATCTGATGTGATCATTCTCCATATTCGCATAACAACCTGTTCTTTGGAATCTAAACATGTTGATACTTGAGGAATTGTTGTTATGTGCCGTGGAGTCGGTTCCAACTCATAGCGACCCTGTACAGGGTTTCCGAGGCTGTAAATCTTTACGGGAGCAGAAAGCCTCATCTTTCTCCCACGGAACAGCTGGTAGTTTCGAACTGCTGACCCTGAGGTTCGCAGCCCGATTCAGAACCAGTACGCTACCAGAGCTCCTTAGTTGAGGAATAAGTGTACTCTTTTTAAATTCCCCAAATGAGTGATTCTCGCCCATTAGTGTCAGGTTAAACATCTTTAAATTTCCCAGTGCTTACTTTTTAAGATGAAGTTCAGCTCCTTACATTTCTTCTAGGCCCTTCAGAACTCTTCTTCGCCAGGCTTCCAAGGCTTGGGGGCTGGCTGTGTGCTGTCAAGTCGGTTCCAACTCATAGCGATACTGTATACTGTTTCTTTTTAGGAGGATAAAGCTTCATCTTTCTCCTTCAGAGTAGCTGCTGGATTTGAACTGCTGACCTTGAGGTTTGATGTTGTTAAGTTGCTTTGGAGTCGAGTAGATTCCGAATCATAGAGACCCTGTATAGGGTTTCAGAGGAGCAGCTGGTGGATTTGAACCGCTGACCTTGTGGTTCAAACTGACATTGCAGGTGAGCGCTTATCCTACAGTCCAGCCTTACTCCTGATTTTTTCAGGAGCCCAGTCTCTAGTGGCATACCATCTCCTTCACCTACCTAACTCCTAGCAATCCTTCAGGTTGTTACCCTAATGATCGCTGGAGGCTGGCTGTTTTGGGATTCCACTGAGGTTTCCGAGCAACCTGTTTTCCTATCATGGGCCTACACGGTGCTTTCTGCTTATTCGTTTGCCACTAGTCCGTGAGTTTCAAGGCTCTTCTTTGTGCACCTAACAAGAATTTAGCAAGTTAGTTGGCAGCAACAGTAACAAAACAAAATAAACAATTTGATACAGTATCAATTATCCTTTATTTTTAGTTAGATCTTAATTACGCAGGTAACCTTTATAAAAATACAGTGTTTCTAGTGTGCCTCGCCCAATCGATCAATTCTAGAGGGATCTGCAGGCAGGCACTGGAGCCGGTTTAAATAGACAAGATGGCGGCTGCCTCTAGGCGGACGTAGGTCTCCACCTACTCAGGGCGGAGGCTGGGATCACGTGACACGAATCGCCTGGCACCGCCTCCAATCGCGGGGCCTGACGGGAAGCTGAGCAGCGAACGAGGCCGTCGGCCATTTTGTGCCTGTTTCCTGTGGGACGCGGTGGTAGCCGTTGGGTCAGAAAAGTGAGCGATTTTCGTCTCATTTTTCTTGCTTGTTTTCTCCTCCCTTTTACTTTGTCAATAGAACGCAGTTATGGGTCGCAAGAAGAAGAAGCAGCTGAAGCCGTGGTGCTGGTATCCTTTGTCGGTTGGAAGTCGAAGCCGAGTGGGGGTGCCGGTTGTTGGTGATAGGGAGGCCTGGGTTTAGGCCTGTGGCGGGGAGTGTCTGGTATCTGGGCCTCGGGGCGGGTGGCTTTCGCGGTTGAGTTCGGGTTGGGAGAGGCTTTGAAAAGGGAGTTTCTAGGGTTACAAGTACTGGCAGCTGTTGTTCTTGGAACTCCGTTTCCTCGGAAGGATTTGGATTTGAGGTGAGCGGTACCGCGGCTCCCTTCACCAACGAAAGTGCCTTCCTCGGTTGTTTTGGTGACGGTTTAACGGAGCGACCTTCTGCGATTTAAAATGCGCTGACTCCTTGAAGAAGTGGGGAAGAGCTTCCGGAGTCCCGGCCATGCATTCGCCCCTGGTTTTTGTAGTGTTGGTGGCTTTGGTAAAGGCTGAGGTTGGCCTTCCCTGTTTTTTCTCTGCGGGGGTGGGGAGAGCGCAAGCTTCCGGGTCTGGGCCGGAGCGGGATCCGAAGCGGAGTGGGAGCGGCAGCGGGAGCCGTGTCCTCCTGGGCGGACAGCCAGCGGTTCCCTGCACTAGGCTTACCAGGAGCGGCTGGTGAGGCTTGAACCGCCGACCTTGCGGTTCACACCCACCTGTGGGGGCTAGTTGATTGGCCAGGGTAACCCTTGTAAAAATGGAGCATCCTTTTCAAAACTTTTTTCCCGGACGCGTTGGTCTCCTGCACTGAAAAAAATAGGTTTTAAAAAACGGTTACGACTTTCGTTAAACCTGGGGGTGAGGTTAGGATCTCTGGATGGAAGTACAGCCCCTTGACAAAATCAGTTCATATGTATTTGGAAACAGTTTATGGGTTGCTCATATCGAAATTGTGCGCCATTTTCAGTTCTTGTCAATGTCTTAGATCCAAACATTGGCTAATTAATTGCCTAACATCCCGGTTGTTTTCATCTTATGTGTATCTAATTACTTATTTTTAAATGAACTTGGGGGTTACTGAACCTTTTCTTTTCCACGTTGTATTTGTATGTATTGAGATGTTGAAGAAAAGTTAATTTTAGACAACGTCTGTTTTAAACCCAGTAGTTTGTCAACAACATATTGCTGATTGCTGAGATACATTTTACTTGGGGGTGTTGAAGAAACCGGGAGCCTTCAGGAATTAAAAAATGCTCAAAGTACGTGGCAAATTTGAATCCTCGTATATAGTAAATAGCAAAATCTAAGGGTCTATGACAGTACATTCTTGAGCTTAGCCATTAGCTCACACTGGAATGTTAACGCTTTTCTTTCTTGGACATATTTTTATTACCGTGTCAGGTATTCTATTTTTGTACCTTAACTGGATTGATCAGGTATTGCAATAGAGATTTTGATGATGAGAAGATCCTTATACAGCACCAGAAAGCAAAGCATTTTAAATGTCATATATGTCATAAGAAATTGTATACAGGTCCTGGCTTAGCTATTCATTGCATGCAGGTAAGAGTTTTTCCTTCTATATTTACGTTTACATTTCTTTATAATACAGCAACATGAAATAATCTTGAATTAGTCTTTGACAGCTGTAATTTCTGTTTATTGTGGAAGATCAGATGAGCTGTCCCAGTCAGCTTAAAAAAAACAAAAACTGTTTTGTAGCCATCATGAAGATAAATTGACTTTATATTTAGGGAGAGTTTATGTTAGTATGTGTCTTTAAAATAACGTCTTTGTGGTGTTTTAGATTGCTTAGAATTAGATTGAAATCAGACTTGCTCGTGAGTATTTGGGATAGAGAATGAGAATCAATTATTTCAGTTTGTAGGTCCTCTGGCCAGTTCTAATTCCC